AGAATGATAAGGACTTTCCTTCAAACCTATCAAGAATAAAGCATATTCGTCGGGGGTCTACTATGGATTCATCGGTTAAGGCAATTAATTTAACATTCAACCAATTAGAATAATGAGAATATCTTTTACACTCAATGATACTCTTTTTTTCATTTTTTTTTTTTTGCGTCGAACAATTAGCCATGTATGTGAGAAAATCATCTATTTTTGCAACACTTTGTTGACGGGTAGGTAAAAATGCTTCCGGATATATCGGATATCCGACCCGTTTAAAAAAATCCTTCACAAAAAATTTGTTGGGTCGGATTATATTTAACCCAACTCATACACCGGATATTTCATATTTAATAATTTAGATATTTAGAAGATTTGATTAAGATTTATAATTATGATTCTCCTATCATCTTTGTTTGATTTGTTTTTAACTGTTTTGAATCATCATATAATACATAAATTAAAAAAAAAATCAATTTTTTTCTTCTGCATATACTGTGATTCGAAATTTTAAATACGGACATATATTATCCAATTGACGAAAAATTGTGTTCAACGTTCTACATCGATTAAAATATTTAGACAATGATTCAGAATCATATCATAAATAAGAACATTAATAAAATAAATGAGTTTTTTGGCCGGACGGGTTTGGCGGAACGGGTTTTTGAATCAATAATAATAAAAAGATTAAAATATCATTAATCCGCCGCTTCAATACGGACTAAATCTTTTTTTTTTTAATACCACAAATATTAGACATATTAAATCAGTCTCATTTAGAAAAGATTGTATAAAACCAAAAATTGTCCCGTGGTATAATGTCCCGTGGTCTTAGAGGATTATATGATTTGTAAAATTTTATATATAATAAATAATCATTAAATTTTAAAATAAAAAACAAATCACGGGACGGGTTAAGAAATTACGGAACGGGTTATATTTCGGAAAGTATTTATATGGCGGACGAATTTGAATCAATATTTATATACCGCTTTAATACGGGTTAAATCCTCAGTTTATTAATAATTGTCTCGTAATGTACCGCAGGTTAAAATCGAAGTTAAAATTGTATCGAAAACCAAATGATAAGATTTAGCTGATACTAAAAAAAAATAGAAAACTATTATACACATAAACAAAATTTTGTATACACATGCATACACACTTAACATTTTCTTTACTATTTTGGTGAACTAAAATCATTTTCCAATTTATTATTTACTTTCGTTAAATTGGTAATATAGTGTAAACTTTAAAATATTGGAGAGAAATTGAAAATTTAATAGCACACTCAATTTAAATAAGAGCAAAAAATCAATTTTCAAAATTCTTAGAGAAAACAGATATATATATATATGAAATTTTGATGTTTTATATAATAAAATGTATATGTCAATCTTTTTGAAGTTTTATATAATAAAATGTATATGTCAAATTCTAAATATATACTGAGTATTTAAATAAGTACGTCAACGTGGAAAAAAAGACCACATCAGTCATAAACAAAATATTACTATTTCGTGGAAAAAAAAAAAAAGTTTAAATTAATATGAGGAAAAAATTGACTTGTTCTTCCCCCGCTCTGCGCTGCGTTAGCACTCTCTCAAATTCATTCTCATCACAAACCAATTCTTCTTCGCATTCTTCAGGTTTGTCTCAATCTCAAATCACCTTTACCTATTGATCTAACCCTCAAAGTTTCAGCCTTTAAGATTCCAAATCTGTTGTGTATCTTTAGGTCAAAGGAACCTTTTTTAAAATCGTTTCCTTCGATTTGATCGCTCTGACATATAAAAACGTAATCTTTTTGGCTCCGATGATCTAAAGTTTCATGCTTTTTCACTAATCAAATCTCCAGGACGTTGATTGTAATCATGGAGCGGTTAACATCTCCTCCTCGTCTAATGATAGTCTCAGATCTTGACGAAACAATGGTAAAACGCAACTCTTTATTCACAGAACAACGATTTGATTTGATTGATGTGTACATGTTTTTGTTTTCTATTTGATTTTGCAGGTTGATCATCATAAAGATCCAGAGAATCTATCTCTATTGAGGTTTAATTCATTGTGGGAAGACGCTTATCGACACGATTCTCTTCTTGTTTTCTCAACCGGAAGAGCACAAACAATGTACAAAAAACTGAGAAAAGAGAAGCCTTTGTTAACCCCTGATGTTATTATTACATCTGTAGGAACTGAGATTGCTTATGGTAACTCCATGGTTCTTGATGATAATTGGGTTGAAATCTTGAATAACAAATGGGACAGAGGAATCGTCGAGGAAGAAACCAGAAAGTTCCCTGAGTTAACTCTTCAGGCACTTTCTCCTTAAACACAACAAAGTCTCAATGTCACTATATACTCAGATGTTACTTGTCCATTGAGTGTTATCATTGAATGCAGGGTGAAACTGAACAGAGGCCACACAAGCTTAGTTTTAACATTGACAAAAGTAAGGTTAAGGCAGTGACTAAGGAGCTATCTCAGCGGTTGGAGAAACGCGGGGTAAGATTTGTTTCTTTACTCTTACAGAAGTTTGCCTGATCTTTGTTTGTTAGTTTACAACATGTTTGTGTTCTTTTCAGGTTGATATCAAGATAATTTTCAGTGGAGGAAACGCTTTCGATGTTTTACCACAAGGTGGAGGAAAGGGACAAGCTCTTGCTTATCTGCTAAAGAAGCTGAAGACTGAAGGAAAACACCCTGTTAACACTCTTGCTTGTGGGGACTCTGGAAATGATACTGAACTATTTACCATTCCCAATGTTTATGGTGTCATGGTTGGTTTTTCGCGGTCTCTGATCATCAGTTTTGCAATTGAGTTTCCATGTTTTTAGTCTTCTCTTGTTTTCATAGGTAAGCAATGCTCAAGAAGAGTTGTTGGAGTGGTATGCTGAAAATGCGAAAGAGAATCCAAACATAATCCACGCAAATGAGAGGTGTGCGGGTGGGATTATACAAGCCATTGGTCACTTTAAGCTTGGTCCAAACCTATCTCCAAGAGATGTTTCTGACTTCTTGGAGTGCAAGGCGGATAATGTGAACCCGGGTCATGAGGTAGTGAAGTTTTTCTTGTTCTACGAGAGATGGAGACGAGGTGAAGTTGAGAACTGTGAGACATATACAGCAAGCCTCAAAGCTTCATGTGTGAGTATAACCTTGTTTCTCTTTATCTGCAAATCTCACTGTATCAAAGAGACTTAATGATTCTTTTATGCTTTCTCAAACCACTATCAGCATCCTGCTGGTGTCTTTGTTCATCCATCTGGTGCTGAAAAGTCTCTCAGAGACACCATTGATGAGCTTGGCAAGTACTATGGAGACATGAAAGGGAAGAAGTTTCGGGTTTGGACTGATCAGGTCTTGGCAACAGACACAACTCCAGGGACTTGGATAGTAAAGCTTGATAAATGGGAGCAGATAGGTAGTTAAATAAAGCCTTAATATGTGACACTCTCCCACAAACCCCATATTAGTATCTTGCTTAATCGATATTCGGATTGTGGATATTGCAGGGGATGAGAGGAAATGCTGCACAACAACGGTCAAATTCACCTCAAAGGTAAGAGATGATTAAGAGGACTATTAGTATAAAGAGTAGATTCTTCTGTTTCTTGAGGATTGAAAGTAATATTGAAATATTGCAGGAAGGAGAAGGGTTTGTGTGGGAACATGTGCAGCAAATATGGTCGGAGGAAACAGAGATAAAGAAGGATGATAGCAATTGGATCATCTGAATTCCATTAAACCATTACAATTTACTTTTCTTTTTATTCCCTTCATTACTAAGAAAAATAAGCCAAAAAAAAAAACTATAATGATAAACTAAAAAAAAAAAAAAAACTATTTTGGATTTTTTTTCCTGAATCTTGCAATTAAATCTTCTTTATAGACCCCAAGAGGAGAGACATATACCGAGAAGGGAAAAGAGAATTTTCATACCCGTACTATCTGCACCGTGGATTTTTATACCCGGACAATTTTGTAAGGTATTTTACAATCTAAACTTTAATAAAATTTGAATCTCATATCTATACTTGATACAACGTGCAAAAATCGGAGTCAATCTAACGGGTGTTAGTCAACTCCGTTACGGTGCTGAGTCATCGTACACGTGTACGCTGACGTGTATCAAAACGACGTCGTTTTCATACCCGTACTGTCTGCGTCGTAGATTTTCATACCTGGACAATTTTGTAGGGTATTTTACAACCTAAACTTTAATAAAATTTGAATCTCATACCCTATACTTGATACAACGTGCAAAAATCGGAGTCAATCTAACGGGTGTTAGTCAACTTCGTTACGCTGCGTATCGAAACGACGTCGTTTTGATATGTGTTCTCAAACCCATTATTTCAATTTCTGTTAGTTAATAAACAAATTTATACATTTTTTGGTTCATACCATCACTGTTTTTACATAGCGCACACTTTATTCCACACATGTGTAATAGTGGAGTCAGAGGCTATAATGCCACTAAACCAGAAAAATGAATCACACATGCCATTTTAGAATCTGTATGCCACTCTAGTATGTGTTATTTCTATTTTGACCTTAATAAATATTTTTTATTTAATAACTTTAAAAAATTAAAAGGAAAATAAAAAAACAAAAAAGCAAAAAAAAAAATTGCTAGCATCATTGTAAGAGATCTAAGGGTCAGTTCTGTCATTGGCGGTGAAGTCAGGGCTGTCAGGCTCGGTGGCTTTTTGAGGTAGCAAAGGAAGAGTGTAGAGAGGAGGAAGGTTGGATATATTGTGCCACATATGCCACTATTTGAAAAAAATTAATCTGGCGTGCCACCTTATAATCTGAGTGCCACCATAAATGTGATATCCCCAAATTACCCTTAATGAAATTAAGGTGAATTTGTATGGAATAGTACAACTTGGTACAACTTTGTACAACTAAGAAATAATAATACAACTGGTACAGATGAAGCGCGTTTGAAGTGAAACGCGACGCGTAAAGAGCGCCTCCAAGGCTCAAGGACGAAGATGCAGTTGCAGCATTACGTTCTTTATCTTGACTAGGATGGTTGGATATATTGTGCCTCTAATTTCACCAATTTCGTAGCATTTTCTCCGATTTGATCCGTCAATTTTGATCCCAACCATCGATTTGGGGTTTTCCCCAATTTCTGTTTTAACGATTGGAATTGAATTTGTTTAGGTTTGGTCACTTGTACGGAGATTTGACCAGCCGCAGAAATACAAACCATTTGTGAGCAGATGTACAGTAATTGGTGATCCTGAAATCGGTAGTCTTAGAGAAGTCAATGTTAAATCTGGTCTTCCTGCAACAACAAGTACTGAGAGATTAGAACTTCTTGATGATGAAGAACATATCCTCTGTATCAAAATCATCGGTGGTGATCACAGACTTAAGGTATAACGAGATATCAAATCTCATTGATGTTTGTTTACATACAGATTGTGTTTTAGAAAACTGAGGAATTTGAAAATGTTGACTTTTTCGCAGAATTACTCGTCGATTGTTACTGTTCATCCGGAGATAATCGAGGGAAGAGTAGGAACAATGGTGATTGAATCTTTTGTAGTTGATGTTCCTGAAGGTAACACAAAAGATGAGACTTGCTACTTTGTTGAAGCACTTATCAGATGTAATCTCAAGTCCTTAGCAGATGTTTATGAAAGATTGGCTTCTCAGGACTTAACTCAATCGCTACATTATCAATGAAGGCCAGTGAAGTGAAGTATCAATTCTGGAAAACGGTGTCGTTTTTGAAGAGTATAATTCAGGAAATGCGATTGAGTTAAGTACTTCTTCCTGATAAAATGGTGTCGTTTTTGAAGAGTCGAACCTCCTATATGAAGCGGCAGGTTTAGTGCAAATAAAAGTTCTTATGAGTCTGACTGAAACAAACCATAAACCATTGGTGAAGCAGATTCAATTTTAAAATCAAAATTTTAGGGTCCAGCGGGAAATTAAAAAGCTACTCATTTGTGACTATGAAGAGTCATCATAAATTCATAACCAAATAATTCAAAACTATTAAACTTTCATGTTAAAAAAATTAAAAAAAAAAAAAGAAGAAAACACGTGCTAATGCTTCTCCTCCTCCTCCACATCGCCGGGTTTTCCTCCTCTTCCTCCCCTGTGAAAACTGCATTTATATCAATTCTCCAGATCCCCCAAACCCTAAATTCTCTCTCTCTCCAAATTTTCTCCGGGAAATTTCTCATTAGGTGAGGTTCATAATCGTCTTTTCTAAGATCTCTCTTTCCGATTTTACGATTCGTCTCATGGTGCGATTTCTCCAGCAGTAATTAATGGCGAGAACCAAGCATTTCGCTACCAGGACAGGATCTGGGAATCGAACTGGTATCTTAAATCTGCTTTCTCTTTCAATTTACTTGTGATTTTACCCATAATTTTCCGGTGTTAACCCTAGATTTCGAATCTGAAATTGTAGATGCCAATGCTTCTTCATCTTCTCAAGCGGCAGGTCCGACGAAGGTACGGCGTATAAGGGTCTCGAATTCAGATTCAAAGTTTCCTTATCACGTTATGATTTTGTCAAATTTCGAAATTGTAGACCCCGACAACAAGAGGCACTGAAGGTGGAGATAATACTCAACAAAGTGAGTTTTTTTTTTTTTTTTTTGGGATCATTATTATCACTTTGATTATTTTCCCTATTTTTTCATCTCTTTGTTTGTGCGTTATGTGAAAAGTTTGTTCCTTTGTAACATTTGCAGCAACTTCACCAGCTACTGGTGGAAGGGTAAGATTTTGACCACTGCTTATGAACTTTGATTTCGCGTTATGCTGACGAAATTCTCATTTGGTTTGTGAAGAGAGGGCCTAGGAGAGCCAGACAGGCTATGCCACGAGGTTAGTTTTTTTTTTTAAAACATCTCTTGTGATATCCTACATAATGCAGGACATTTATTGTGTTTTGAAAACTAATCTTCGTCTTGTCCATGTAGGTTCACAGAAGAAGCCTTACCGATACAAGCCAGGAACAGTTGCTCTGAGAGAGATTCGACATTTCCAGAAGCAGACAAACCTTCTTATTCCAGCTGCTAGCTTCATAAGACAAGTGAGTTTCTCTTTTTCTCTCTTTTTCTTTTGCTTAATAAGTTTCACAGCATAACCATATATATATCAAGAGATAACACAAGCCTTTTGGTGTTTGATGTGGCTTGTTTTCAACATGGATCCTATCTGAACATCAATGCAGTGAACATAGTGATATAGCATTTTTACTAAAATTCAGCCAAACCTCCGTTAAGGAGCTTGTAATCTAGTTTGTCTTTGAGGTTATTGACTCATAGATTCACAACCATATGATTCTGTAACTACAATACTTCCTCAGTGATATGGAAATGCTGATTTGTGTTCCAAACAAACTAATTTAGTTTCTTTTTCCAGGTGAGAAGTATAACTCATGCGTTGGCCCCTCCCCAAATCAATCGTTGGACAGCTGAAGCTCTTGTGGCTCTTCAAGAGGTACCAATCCTTCAACTTTTTTCTTGATACAAATATATGAATATAGATATAGAGAGAGTCACACACATCACAAATAATGTCTTGATGACCCACCCAATCAACTTAATCACAAATTCTTTGTGATAGGCGGCAGAAGATTACTTGGTTGGTTTGTTCTCCGATTCAATGCTCTGTGCTATCCATGCAAGACGTGTTACGCTAAGTAAGTACTCTAAAAGAAGACATTTTCAGTCAAAATTTAGGAATCACAAGCTACTTTTGTATCCCTTTGAATCATTAGTTACCTGAAAATCATATACAATATTTATGCTTATCCATATCTGTTTTTGTTCATATCAGTGAGAAAAGACTTTGAGCTTGCACGCCGGCTTGGAGGAAAAGGCAGACCATGGTGATAGAAACTCACTCCCTATTCACATCTCTTACATTGTAAGTGAGGATCGAATAGTTAACAACAAGTGTGTCGTAGGTTGTATAAGTTTTATTTATTCTATCCTCATGACTTGTTGATGCTTGTCCTTTTTTCTTTAACTTCATGATCTGACCAAAAGCTTCTTTTAAAACATAACTGGAAAGCGGAATTTGGTTGATTACAGTATCTAGGTTGGAAAATTTCGTTCTCAATGTGTGTTTCTTATCTGCTTTTCGTTGGATTTGATTGTTTTACGTTGAGATTTCTCTTGACAAAAACGTTTTCTTTTGTTAAGTTCTAACTTCCAATAGTTCATGTATATAAATCGAAGCCTCAGTCTTAGAAATGGCTGTGATTGAAAGGATAAAAAAGAAATTAAGTGGAAGATTTGGAAGAACATATGTTTTGGGAGGGCTTTAGAAGAAATATCTCTCTTGACTAATGGGAATATCCACGACTTTAAATTAAGTTTTATATTCATCCCTAACTAACTTTCAACTTACCTTTTGATAGTTCTAACAATATATTTCATTAAATTGACAAAATTTATCTCAATTTGTAATAGATTGAACTTCATAAATGTAAAAGTTAAGTGTTTCTCCTAATTAATGCATACTCTATAGTTTTCAATTTCATGTCTCTAATCAACCTTTGCTAGTATATATACATTGATGTTACATACTATTTTCATACATATCATTGTACATTAGTACTCAACATAGTTGATTCGTATGAACTTAATAACGGTTTAATTTATTTTATCTGCGTATAAATATAAAACATCAAGTAGTATTATTCCTATTTTAAAAAGCAATTAGACAAGAACATGACGGAGCAAATGTCTTATGATTCTCATTGGTTCTCAACGTAATCACTCAAGCATTGGCACACACACTGACATCTATTGGCTGCCACCCATAAGTTGCTAAATTAATTAATAAGAATAATAATTTAAGCCGTGACAAAAAAAAAAAAAAAATAATAATAATTTAAGTTAAATCCGATTTAAGGAAAATAAAGTACCATATACATCAATACATCATACATGATTCCTTAATGTGGAAACCGACCAAACCGGTCGTTAATATTTTCCCCTATAAATAGATAATAGACTTCATGTTCTTCCCTTAAAATCCACCATTCTCTCTTTCTCTCTCTCTACCTTAGGTTCAATATGGATGAGAGGAAATGCTGCACAACAACGGTCAAATTCACCTCAAAGGTAAGAGATGATTAAGAGGACTATTAGTATAAAGAGTAGATTCTTCTGTTTCTTGAGGATTGAAAGTAATATTGAAATATTATTGTAGGAAGGAAAAGGGTTTGTGTGGGAGCATGTGCAGCAAATATGGTCGGAGGAAACAGAGATAAAGAAGGATGATAGCAACTGGATCATCTGAATCTATTTTGGACATTTCCATAAAAACATTACAGTTTACATTTTTTTTTTAATTCCCTTCATTATTAAGAAAAATAAGCCAAACTATACATGATAGACTTCTAAAATAAACGTAATTTTTTTTTAAAAAATATACATGTATTTGGGATTTTTTTCCAAAAACTTAGAAAAACAAATTATTGATTGTTGTTGATGAATCTTGCAGTTAAATCTCTAGTTCAAACCCTTTGAAACTTGCTTTTTTGCTTAGGCTTTTAGCTGTTTTCTTAACAACATGGCTTTTTATGATATTAAGATAAGATGTCACTAAACACACGTTTTGTCCTATACACAAACTTGTTTTGATAGGATATAATTCGAGTATCTTTTACATGTTTTCAGTTTTATTTTTGATTAGAAAAAAAATTTGTCACAAATTTGCATAGTCAAGAATTTTCAAATCACGATTATATTAAAATGGGAAGATCATCAAAGAGAAGAAAATGATATCTACTCTATAGACTTATAATCTCAATTGGTAAACTATCAGACCAAAGTGTCATATCTATAAACTCTTCACTCGGCCAAGCTTTTCAATGTGTTGTTGACATGTTGTTGGGAACATTTAAAACTCGGGTTTACTCAAATCAGAAAATAGAAAACGCTAATTATTGATTTTAAATCGCAATTATAAAAATTAATTGAATTTGGTTAATTCGGTAGAATTTTATAGATTGGGTGGAATTAAGAAGGAAAAGAAGAGTATAGGGTGAATTGAGTTGAGGTCAAAAGTACAAAGTGATCCTAGTTAAACGTATCTAGTGCAGGTGGATTGCTACAGGCAGCCCTTAAATACAAGTAGACGTAACAATTTTGCTAAGACTAAAACAATAGTTAAAGTTAATAAATTTGACAGTTGGCTATATTATATTCCACTGAAATGTAACCACTTTAAAAAGGAAACTTCATTCCAATACAAATTCCAGTGAAAAAAAATAATTTAGTTCCATCAGTCCAAAATGATGAAATAATGTTCATAATATCAAAGGCAACACTCCATATTTGAATGAAGTAAAAGAAAAAACACATTAAAAGAAAACTTGGGAGTAAAACACAAACAGATCCAAGTCTGGTTCTGGTTTGAGTTTTCTTTTTGTGGATGGAACTCAGAATCTGATGAACCCTTTATCTCTCAAGCTCTCTACAGTCTCTTTAATGCTAACTTCCAATGGCACAAACTCAACCCCAAGAGACTCTGCTTTCTCTTTTGACACTTTATATGTTGGAATATATATCTTTTCATCTGCACACCTACAACAAAATTTCATTGATTATTTTCAAAGATCTTGTCTTTTAATTATCAACTTCTAGAAAGAAAAAAAAAAAGAAAAGAGAGACACTAAAAAGAACTAACTTCTCAGGGAGTTGAAAATCAGGGTAAAGATCATGCAAAATGTTAACAACTTCAGAGTAATGGGCAACTCTCTCCACTAAACAGTATCTCCCATCAGCAGTTGGATTCTCAAACGCTTGAATATGAGCGTTCGCTACATCTTTAACGTTAACCCACCCGAACGTCGCATTAGGAAACGTTTGTGCTCCTGAAAATGTAAGCCAATGTTCAACTTTAGGTAAGTGTCTGAACCAAACCAATGCTTCTGTTTTTTCTTTACCTTTGATCAAGCTTAGTACTGCAGCAGCGCTAGTGTTTAGCGTTGGCTGTAAGAGAGGACCAATCACCATAGCTGGATTTATCGAAACCAGCTGTAAATCATTCTCTTTCGCGAATTTCCACGCTGCGTTTTCAGCTAATGTCTTCGACAATACATACCATAGCTTTTGAGGGAAAATAACAGTGATTCAGCAAAAAACAGAGTGATAACTTCAACATCACGCAACCAGAATTCATTTTGATTTACCTTGGAAGCTCTGCAATAGTCAGGATCGGCAAACCAAGTTTCGTCAACTATGGTTTCGGGTGTTCGAGGCATTCCATTGAAAGCAACAGCTGCTATAGATGAGGTTAAGACGACTCTTTTAACAGAGGAAGTCTTCAAACAAGAGCTAAGAACATTGATTGTTCCTTTCACTGCTGGATCAATTAACTCAGCCTACATAAACCAAACCCACAAACCAATCAATAATGGAAAATTCGATCACAAGAGAATGCGCCAAAATGAGAGAGGGAGACCTGAGGGTCCTTGACGTCATGATAGAATGGCGATGCGGTGTGGAAAACTCCTTCGCAACCATCGATTGCTGAATCGAAAGAGCCTTCTTCTAACAAGTTTGCTTTGAACAATTTAAGCCTTTCCTCTGCTCCTTCCAATGCAAGCAAATGCTCTGTTTTCCTCGGATCATCTGTTCCATTGAACCATATATACAAAGTAAACGAATCTATGAATCTTGAATCATCCGACAATTACAAGATCTCTAATGATCTCTCATCTCTTCAAATTTCATTACAAAAAGAAAAGAAAAAACGAATCATGAACATGAAACTATATTAGATCCGTTATTTCGGTTTCGATATATAAGATTTGGAAGAGATTGAATAGAGAAAAAGAGACGGACTTGGATCGCGAACAGAGGCTTTAACGGTGTAGCCACGGAGAAGGAGAAGCTTAACGATCCATGAAGCAATGTAACCTGAAGCTCCTGTCACACACACTGTCTTCTCTTCTTCGCTGCTCATTCTTCTTTCAGATCTTCTTCTCAAATTATCTCTCTTTGTTTTTTTCTGTGTTTGAATTCTTCAAAACTTAGATATTCTTAGCCTTTTGCCTTTTATTTTCCTCTTCTGTTTTTGGGTTTTAAAGCGCGCCATTTTTAGGAGAGTTCGTTAGAGTTTTCCTCGGGATTTTTCTCTACCAAGTGTGTGACTCCTCTTAATCTCCTCCGTACGTTTATAATTAATAAACTAATTTCGTTGTTAAACCAAGTTTTCATGAACTCAATTCGTAAAATTTATTAACCGAAGAAAGAAAAACCGGTAATATCCGGTTTTGGTCAGAAAAAAAAGTTACATTTTGATGACATTGGAGTTTCTCTGCCTTGCTGTGGCTGAACTGTTCTTAACTTCCCTCATAGGAGGTCTCGAGCTCGACGGTTTTGTTGTTCTTCCTTCTTTGTACTTAGACCAATCTCCATTGTTGCTATGTCGGTTTTCTTTTAACCGACAAATCAATACCCTTTTCTCTGACTCTGATGGCAATTTGTTCTTCTCTAGTTCTAACTTATCTTCCTTCCTCATACTTTTGATCTCTTCTTGTAATTCGCAAACCTCTTCTTGTAGGTTTTTCAACTTTGCTTCCGATGATAACGCCTTTCTTCGCCATCCTTCAACCTAAAACAGATTCCCAAAACATTTGTTAAGTCACCGACTTGTGCTATATCGAGAAGAACTGATGGAGTGTAGTTTCTATCTTACCGAGGAATGTAGATTTTGTATCTCAGCATCTGACTCAAGAGCGCGGTTTTGCCAGAAATCACGACATGATTGAAGCTCTTCCATTTCTTTTCTAACTTGATTTAACATCTCTTGCATTTGTGACCATTGCTCTGCTTCAGCTCTTACTTCATCCGCGATCTTCCTCATAACTGCTTTGCAGTGTCTAGAACAGTCTTTCTTTTCCTCGTGCGCTTTAATTGCCTGCAAAACGTAAAAATTAATCCTCACAAACTTCATTTGAGCTCATATTAGAGAGTAGAGAATTTGTTTTCACAACTTTACCTTACTATACATGTCTTGTACAGAGCTTGAAGACGGTGCAACGAGACTCGATCCATATTCCTTCTCCATTCTTTCCAACAAAACCCCTTTCGATAACGCCTCCATTTTACTACTCAATGTATCTATCTGCAGCAAAAACATCAAAGTCAAAATCATGGAAAAAAACCTCATCCATTTAGAGTTAATTGTTACACTCACATTTCCATTATTGTTTCTAAGAATGCTTTGATCAGAATGGACCGAGAAGCTAGCTTCTGCCATTTTCTGAATTCCTTTGACACAAACCTCTTCGGAAACTGCCTCATCAAACCTCTCCAGCTCTCTTCTTAGAACAGAAGCTTGCTTATCAAAATTATGTCTGAAGTTTCTAGCTTCCATGTCCTTAACCTTTGGAGACTTTAACTCATTCAGTTTCTCAACCAAATAGCTTATCTCATCTTCCAAAACCTTGCTCTCTTTCTTCCCTTCAGAGATTCTCTGTTTCCCCTAAATCAAAACACCAACATAGAACAGCTTCAAACTCAAAACACTCACACAACAACAAACACAAACACACAAACCAAATCAGATTCTTTGACTTACAGAGAGAAGAGTAAGAACAGCAGATCTCAGCGTCCTCTCCATTCGCTTCTTCCTCCTCTCCATCTTCTTCAAAGCAATCTCTTTTTCTATTCTTAACAAATTACACTCTGATCTCAACATCTCCGCTTGAAACCTCCACTTAGCTTCCTCAACTTCATCAGCCGCAGAAGAAGATGGAAACCCACCAATCTCTCTCCCATCTGCAACTTTCCCTCTTCTCCTTCCTTCTTCCTCCTCATTCACCATCACAATCGATGCCCCTCGATCAAAAGTCCTCTCTTGATGAAACAGAACCTCCAGTTTCACTCTCCGATCCTTCTGAGACGACGAAGAAAGCGTTGTCTTCAAACCCTTTGCAGCATTCCGTCGAACACTATGCCTACGTGGCAATTGAAGAATCCTCGGCGTCTGTGGGTACTGCCACTTCGATTTCCTCATCATCAACGATTCGTTACTTCTCTCCATTTTTATTCACCAACCAACTTTAACAAAAAAAAAAGCAACGAAAGTCTCTGTCTTTGTCGTTATCTTTGTCTCTGTCTGATGATGATTGTCAGAAGAAGAAGAAAGCTCTGATCTTTCTCTGTCGGATTTTTTGAAAAATAAATCCTTTTGTTACCGTTGGAAAATAGAATCACTCGAAAACAGAGAAGAAAAGAGACAACCTTGGAGAATTCATCGAGGCTTTTGGTAATTTAAAAACTGTGTTTTTTACTACAATGAGTGCATTGATGTGTATAAATAAAGCGATCTTGGGTCTGGTTCTCGAGTAAAGCCTACGGCGAGAGAGAGAGAGATAAGGGAGAAAGAGAAGCCTCGTGAAGTGGAGCCATTTTCAAATAAAAGCTGTCTCGTGTTAAGTTCGTGATGAAACCGCTGCTTCCTCTTTTTTATTACAACTCTGCCATTACCTTATTGGATCTTTTTTACGATATCCATTAATTAATATACATAGTAGTGACTAGTGGTTGTTTTTTGTTTTTTGTCAACGACTAGTGTTGTTTACTCGAGTCATGTTTTTTTAGAGTCTATTTCAAATAGGACAATATAATAGTGATATTTGAAAGAAATGTTTTTGGGAAAATGTGGTTTTAAAAATTCTCAACTTTCTTATTTTCCAAACAATGCCTAAATTTTTTTTTAAATTTTTTTTCTATTGTGTAAAGGTACTTTCTCTGCATAAATGACATATCACGCACACTAAACAAATAAATATATTCTTAAGAATTATTCGAATTTCATTAAAAAATTCCAAGCTCTTCTTATTTTTTATATGATTAAATTAGAACATTATATATTATTTTATAAAATAAAATAAAATTTTTTTATGAGTTTGTACAAACCATCGAGTTCTTTGTTAGTGGAATGCGCATCCTCGAAATCGGATTCAACAGCTTCATCTTTGAAATCATCTTTTAAAGGTAGAGTCTCGACTTTTTCGATCAATTCATCATATGTCTCAGCATGTATGTTACTTAGTCTTTTCTTTAGAACTGTTTCCATAACCTTGAAAAAAAGTCTTCATTATCCTTATGGAAATACTTGTTTTTACTGTCTTCAAGCTCTGAAACCACAAAACATGATATTCTAAAAGAGGAGTATGAACATGGAGTAATTTCGTCAAGAGACCAAATCTTAGATTGTTACTATGGTGTAACAATTGTAAAACTCTTGCTACCAGTTTATATAATGCATCAACCTTATCAAAAAAAATAAAACTTCTTTTGTTTGCTACAGTTTATACTTTATACAGTAAATAAAATTATGTGCATTTTTTCAATGTTTTGAAAAGAGAAAATTTAACAAAACCACTAGTTTTGCTCTAACTAAAATTAACCCTAAAAAATAACTAATTTGTTATATTGTTTTGAAAATGGAATTATAGCACCTCCCAATTTAATTCTATTAGTTTCTGTTTGGGCCAGAAAAAGCTCGTGACCACTGACTGGCTCGTCCGTTTTGGTGGTTGAAGAAGTGAATTGGGCTCTTGACCCTTTTTGCTTCTTCTTTTTCGAAAATCAAAGATTTTGTGATGAATTGGGCTCTTGACCCTTTTTGCTTCTTCTTTTTCGAAAATCAAAGATTTTGTTTCACAACCCGAGAATGGACCTAGTTCTTCTCGACACTACAAGAAAGCTTCTAGTATTCATTCTCTTTCAAAAGTTCATCTATGCAAAATAAGGATAGCACAAAGACACGTGGCAACAACCCATTTGCTATAAATTCATATTTTGGATAAGGAAATGGATCATAATCGCTCAATATCAATTCTTTTTTGTTTTCCCATATCCCCAACTTTTTAAAGACAATCAATCACCAACTCATCAGATAAACAAGAAACAGAGATAGATAAAGAGATCACACGTGGGAATCCAACTTACCAATTGCAATGGCGTCAATGACCATGACATCTTCATTTCTTCCCACCGTTTCAAAGCTTCCGGCAAACATCTCCGGCAACAGCAGACGAAGCCTCACGGTGGTCAAAGCGTCCGCGAGCGAAAACACAACCAGCTTGGAGAACAAGAAGCAAGAGCAGAGCATGAAGATGAGGAGGGATCTGGTGTTCACAGCTGCAGCTGCGGCTGTGTGCTCCTTAGCTAAGGTGGCAATGGCAGACGAGGAACCAAAGAGAGGAACAGAGGCTGCCAAGAAGAAGTACGCTCCTGTCTGTGTCACAATGCCTACGGCAAGGATATGTCGTAACTGAGTTCGCTATCTTACCAACGACACTTCATATGCCTCTGTATTTATGTCGTAAAAACTATTCTCAGTGTGGTTTGTAATGATCATATTTGATCAAATCTATAAAAAAAACCTTTGTTAATGTAGTTAAATCATCCACTGATGCGATCACAAACCTTAAATAACTTCAAATCAGTAAAAACTTCAACTTAAGCTTGGGCAACCAATCTTTACCCTTTCGACTACAAATAAACGCACAATAAGAGCCGTATAATCCATTAGAACAAATCAATTGTTGGGTTATATCAGAGCGACCCCATGATATCTCAGTAGTCTATAGTTTTCTGAGGCTGCCAGGTTCATGAGAAGACAAAACTAATGTACCTCTGGTTTATTCTTCTTCTGTATATTGAAGAGCAACAACAAATCTCAAGTTTTGTTCTGATGCATTTCTGCTACTCTACTCCATTGGGCCAGACGATGTTCCCTCCTCTTCACCATCAAATTCTTGCTCAACGCCTTTGACCTGTGTTTTGCACAAACGCTTTGTGGTGAGTAATTTGATGATTAGAAAACAAGAGAAGAGACCATTACAAGATCATGATGCCCCAATTAGCAGCAGAAGACATAACAGAAATGATAAATGGTAGGACCTCTCCTTATAATCTTTACCTCGGATACATAATGCATAAGCATATTCTCAATTCCTGATTTCAAAGTAACAGATGAACTTGGACAACCGCTACAAGCTCCTTGCATTCTAAGCTTAACTATACCAGTTTCCCTGATCAAAACACATAGCTCTGATAAAGACAAAGAAACCGATCTTCTTAACATTTGGTTTGAACTCATAGAACAACTTACGTATCGAATCCACAATACTCGATGTCCCCTCCATCATCTTGAACTGATGGTCGGATACGCGTCTCCAAGAGTTCCTTAATCATTGCTACAGTTTCAGAATCATCCTGAGAAACAATTAACACTCTTGTTAGTATTTGGCTTTTTAAACTCTATATCTACCAAACATTGGCAGCCTACCTCGTGAATGGCGGTATCCTTGGCAGCTGTAGCTTGTGAGTCGAGAAACAAAGGCTGACCAGAAGAGTAAAAGTCCATTACCACTGCAAAGATATCAGGCTTGAGAATATCCCATGTTACATCATCTGACTTTGTTACAGTAACAAAATCTGACCCAAAGAAAACTCGAACAACACCTGCATCAAGAGAGAATCTTGATCACAAAAACAAGAACACAGATCATATGAGGAGAAAACAAATGTATTTAGCGAAAGACGAAGGATACCATCAATGGCGAAGATGGCTTTAGCTAAAGGTGAACCCATAGCAGAACGAGAATTAGGGAAATCAGCACTTCCAATATCCATAACTGGTTTACCAGGATTAAACATTAGAGAAGAAGGGTTTGGTGTTGATTGTGTTTCGATAAACATTGTCCTCCTTTGCACTGCTCATAACACAAATTTCAAGCCATAAGAATTTCAAAGTCATTTCATTTCAAGAATCTGGAGACAAAGATTAGCGACCTAGAAAATTATCATACCGATCCAATTCAGGGGAAATGAAGAAGATCTCGCAGAGTTGCGAGAAGCATTAGTCGTTCTGGAATCCCATAAATTCGCCGGCAAGTGTGTCGCCGCCGAGATAAACAGAGAGCGACGTGATACCAGAAGAGAAGTAGAAGGAGAACAAGTTACGGAAACTGTATGTCGCGAAAGAGAATTGAGAAGTCTCGTAATCCCTTTCATGATCTTCTTCGTCTCCGTTGCCTTAGCTTACGAAATTAGGGTTTCGACAGGAAAAAATCGTAAAACGGACGGCGAATGAGAAGTGGAAAATATCGATCAGAGAAACCTCTGCTTACGGCGACGACGTGGCCGTTATATATCTACCGTGAGATGCCGTTACCGTTACCGTTACCGTCAATTACTTGAACCGGAATAAACCCGAACCAAAATTTCTGCAATTTCTTATTACGTCGATGGTACAGTTCAACCAAACCAAAGCATCGTAATTTCTAAATAGAACAAAATTTCAAATGTATAAATAGCTACAATAATATTATGGTTGCTACAAGAACGAAGTGAAGTATACATTTTAGATGCACATTGTCTCAAAGAGCTTTTATGCCTAAATCTAAAACAATGGAGTTCAGAACAAAAAAGTTGAAGGACAAAACTTTAGCTTCAGCTTCAAGGAAACAAAATCTCTAGACAAGATCAGCTGGCATCTCGCGGATTTTGGTACCGTAATGTCGCTCAATATCCTTAAGATCCTTCATGTCTGAAGATTTTACAAAGTTAATAGCAACACCTTCACGACCAAAACGACCCGCTCGTCCTATACGATGAATGTATAGCTCCGGGTTGTTGGGTATATCATAATTAATGACATGAGAAACCTAGTACATCAAGGTTTCTAATGTTAACATGAAAGTTTTTTGTGACATTGTCATTGATAGTTAAAAGGGAGAGAGAGAGAGAGAGAGAGGTAGAACATACAGTTTGAACGTCGATCCCTCGTGCCCATACATCTGAGGCGATTAAAACACGGCTTTTAAATGACCGAAACTGGTTCATGATTTCATCTCTCTCCTTCTGACGTTTGTCTCCATGCATTGATGAGACTATGAAATTGCTACTCCTCATCTTTTCAGTAAGCCAATCCACCTTTTGTAGATATAAAAAACGCAGATCAAAGGTATAAGATTATCAACAAAAGATATAGGAACCAAAGATTAAGAACATGAGTAACTGTATTTTACCTTTTGTCTTGTGTTGCAGAAGATAATAGCTTGATTAATAATAAGCCTTCCATAAAGATCGCAAAGAGTATCAAATTTCCACTCTTCTTTATCAACATCAACATAGTATTGTTTAATTCCCTATAAAACCAAAAGTTGTAACTTATGCTTTTCATGATAAAACTAAAACTTAAAGCATAAAAATGGCAGAAGAAAAACTTACTTCAAGAGTCAATTCATCAGGCTTCACAAGAATCCTCACAGGATCTGTCATAAACTTTTCTGTCATCTCCAAAATCTCTTGAGGAAGAGTAGCAGAAATCAAGCAAACCTATAAACCAACTGCATTAGCTTCACATTACCATAGAAACTAGAATCTAGTAATTATTTGAACAGTTGAGATTGAAACCTGAATATCGTGTGGAAGAGCTCTGTAAACGTCATAAATCTGGTCTTTCAAACCTTTACTCAGCATTTCATCTGATTCATCCAGAACCAAAAGTTTAACAGCTTTAGTTTGTAAACTTCCTCTCTTTATCATATCGTAAACTCGACCAGGTGTCCCAGACACAGCATGGACACCACGCTCCAGCTTCTTGATATCTTCTCCAATGCTCTTACCACCAATGCAGGCATGCGCCTGAATATTGGTATGTGCCCCAATAACCTGTATAGTCTTCTCTGTTTGTGAAGCCAACTCTCTTGATGGAGACAACACCAAGGCTTGAACCCTTGAAACCAAAAAAAGAAACAGGTATTGCAGCCTTAAAGTAAGTGTTCCGCAACTTAATTACAAGGCAAAATCATCAACAATAGACTACCAAGTGGATTAGTAAAAAAAAACAGAGATTGCAGCCTTAAGCAAGTATTCCTCACCCTAATCACAAAGCAAGATCAAGATTGCAGTGAAATTCTAAATTGGAAATCTGAATTAAGGTTTTCTTCGATCACAGGGAAAGAAAAGGACTTACTTTCTGGAAGAAGTGTTGACGATTTGACAGACGGAGATTGCAATCATGGAGGTTTTACCAGTACCAGACTGAGCCTGAGCTATAACATCTCTTCCTTTTAGAATCGGCACCAAGGCTCTCTGCTGAATCTCAGATGGTTTCTTGTAACCGTAGTCATAAACGCCGCGAAGAACTTTATCATTCATGCCCATGTCATCGAAACTCTTAATTGGTTTGATCCCTTTGGTGGTTTCGAATACCAAATTCTCGTCATCTAAAACTCCTTCCATAAGTCTCCACTCTGAATCTCTCTTTCTGACCAAAATCAAGACAAGTCAAATAGATTTTCTTATTGCAAGTTTTGGAGCTTGAAGACGAAAGTGTCGGGAGAAGGATTGTCCAAGAGAGATAAAAAGGGTTTTAGGGGTTCTGATTACCTTAAGAAGAAGAAGAAGACGAAGACGTCATCATTTTCGTGACAAGAGAAGGTCAACGAAGAAAGAGTTTTGTGGTTGAAGCCAATTGGGCCAGAAACTAAAGTAAAGCCCACTTAAGTATGGGTGTTGTTTGTTAAGTTAAAGCAAGGTAGAAGCCTTAAGTGGATTAGGGTAATAATGAGACATGAGTATAATGATGTAAGAGAACATTATCCAAAAAGATCTTTGGAGGAAAACGCTTCTTGTTGTCTCTCTAGAATACAGAAACCAAATCTGTATAAGAGATAGAGATCTAACCAAAGAGGTTAGATATGTGAGAATCCAACAAAATGTGTTTAATATAAAAAGATTTATTTAATACATACGGCGGCGACCACTGTAATCGACGAACTTCCGCCGCCAAAATTACACCTGTACCTTTTTATGGAATTTGTTTTTGATGAGACTACGAATAGATTATTGAGGAGAACCATAAAGTATTTAAGAAGAACAATCCAGCTCGTAATTAACTCAAACCAAAATACAAACAACAAAACTTGCAAAGCTAACATGCCTGAAATGTTAGGGAGCACCATTTTATGACATAAATAGAAAATAATTATCAGTATACAAAATAATACAAAATACTTGACAGCGACTTGGTGGAAGTATCCATCAAATTCGAAATAAACATGCTCATTGGTGATTTACATGTGGCTCTAAGCCTAACAGCCTCCGAAAATCAACTAATTTAACGACCAAAAGATTAACCTTAAACGAAAAGTTGAGCAATACCTTTCAAGTAATTAAAGAACAAGGACTTCACATGTGCTAGAGCATCTTGGTATTGCAACGAGTTCTGTAAGGAAGGCACACTTTGCCTTCTTCGTGTAGTGAACATTGAGCCTTAATTTCTTCAGGAGTGTTGAATTCGTCAGGAAATATCTTCCTAGCTCCATTTCTCCTTCATACCTTGGGATTGAACGTTTCAATTCCACAAACTTGAGCGATGATACCAAACACCGAGGCACTGTTGAAAACATCACATTTGGTTCTCTCTTCTCCTCATGACGTCCCATGGATTGCTTCTTGACCATTTCCTGCAAAAATAGGAACAAATAAAATAAAACAAATTGAGTAGAGAGATACATATAAGAGGTTATCACAAACAATATGTGTAAATAGGAGGGTTAAAGCTACTCATTAGTACCAATATGAGAGATTCTAGTTTTGGACAGCTCTCAAGAAGGGTTGGCAACATTTCAAGATCAGATATATAAAATCTAGCTTTCAAAGGGGAGAGGTAACGAAACTGACGCACTGGTCTTGACTTTGAGTACAGAAAGAATTCCTGGTAACATAAGTGAACAAAAAAACTTTTGTAGAGGAATATTTTTAAATAAATATGCTCAAACGTTGAGATGTATACCTTCCAAGTATTACTACTAATAACTAGATCCCTGACCCTCGAAATATCGATGAGGATATCTCGAATGACGTTTTTATGGTATCTCACACACTAGTAGAGAGGAAATCAATATCTAGTTTGGCAGGGAAACCCGAATTGATGATCTGAAAGTTCTTTGTTGAGTACATCTTAGCCCTCACACACTGGAGCAGAGGTGCATCAATCACAACATCAATAAACTCATTGACATTGATTCTCTTTAGCGTATGAGAGCGCAATTGTAAAACGTTTCTCTTAGGGTACGTAGTGCTGATGAGTGATGAGTATTAAATCTTCTAGAACTGGAGAGCCTGAGATAAGTGTCAGCAACGTGGTCTCATTAGAACAGCCCAACAGTGTCGCGCTGGTATATATGATTAATACAGACGTAAATGGGCTTCAAGCAAAAAGCCCACTATGAGCTTTTATATTGTGTTTGATACATACGACGGCGACCACTGTAATCGACGAAATTCCGCCGCCGAAATTACACCGCAGACCAAACCGGTTTCAAATTGGAGCATTTTACAGCTACACTTTAGATAGCTTGTGAAGAAGAAGACGGTACCACGAACTCAACAACAATGGTATCATCAATATATTCACGAATCTTCTCCTTCTGCAACTTCATCTGATCATCCACAGCTTCAATTTCACCAAAATCCCTAAAATACGAAATCGATCCAATAGAGAAACCTTTAGATCTCCCCGGAGAAAAGTTTTCTCCAACGGTAATCTGATCACATCCTTGAAATTTCTCCTTAATCACTTCCATAATCTCCAATTTCGCTTCATCGGAGACATTCTCTTTCAACTTGAGAAGCGTGATTTTACCAATTGAACCAGGAGGCGGTGCTAGGGTTCCGGGAACTTGATCGGCGATCCAATCAACGGCCATGATATCTTCGCGAATCGATTCAGATTCCTTGACAACACGAACGTGATCGGGATGGATTGCGTAAGCGTTGAGATCTTCCTTGGATTTGTAACGGCTATGAAGGACGTGAGTGAAGTCGGAGGCGGTGGTGGAGCTAAGGCGGTGGATAGAACCGCAGGAGAGGTGAAGCACCTGGTTGAGATTGACTAGTTCGTTGATTCCGTTGACCATGGAGTTTATCTTGCCGGAGTCAACGTCGTTGAGCTTGAATAGAACGACGTGCTCGACGATTGAAGACATGGTAACGACGACGGAGAGAGATGGATTGGTTTCGTAATTTTGGCCACTTATTTTTTCTTTAAAGAGAAATTGATTTTTTAACTGTAATTGGGCCTTAATGGGTAACTTAACGTAACGTTACAGGCCCATTATGTACCTAACATGTGTGTTTGTTTGTAGGGGAAAATGGAACCTAGGATTCTTGTAAAGTTTAATCAGCTTTGACATAAACGTACGATTACTAGCTTTATTATTTGGTTAGTTGATTATCTTTTTTTTTTTTTTGACATATTTGGATCGACAAGGTCCGATCCATAGCCAATCTCTACTACGCGGGGTAACGCGACTTAGTGGAGTCCGGTGAGGAAGGCGGAGTCAAGTGGTTAAGTCCACTTGACTAAAGGCACATCCCCGGTTAGTTGATTATCTTAGTAATGTATTTAATAATATTTTAACTTTATTTCATAGTTTAATGATTTTTTTGTGTTTATTTTGGGACGACGTATAATTAATAATACAAAGACAAAAAGCGAAAAACCAAAAGAAATTGATACGGACTCGAATCTAATCCTCATTCCAATGTGATTTGTAGCTTTTAGGTACCTAATTGGATTTTTGTTTGTACGTGTGTGATACTATGCACACGTGGGAGATCTCCCTTGCACACAAATATACGAATATACTAGCTAGTAACTAATATTATTAGGAGTGGACACTAGGCTAATATCCACTATTTTAAGGATATTTGTTACTTGATTTGTTTTATTCGGTTAATAAAACTTAACATTGTATTTTGTTTGTTGAAAAACGAGTATCCGTAGTTTCAAATACTTTGTCTTATTACTTGCTATTTGCGAGTTAATAATACTTTCAAATTACTTGTTGATTTATTTATTATGTTTTTACCTTCTTAAACTTACTTTACTTAGACCTAACTTTTAAATATTGGTCTAACAGTAATACAATATGAACTATATGTATATAAAATAGTAAAATAATAATGAGTAATAGGTCAAAAAAACCGGGTATTAGTTTTTTTTTTTTAATTATTTGTTACTTGGTTTGTATTTGCAAGTATCTTAATTATATTACTTGTATTTTTCTTTAACAACAATGGATACTTGTTTTTTCAAACGAATACGAGACAAATAACATGTACGGGACGAATAACGAGTATATATTAAACCCACCACCTATACGTAGGGTTATTACCTTAACTACTTTATGATGAGAATTATAATATTGTACGTAACCAATGGAAGAACTTCGTTAAGTATGAATTGAAATTAGGCAACCTTAGCCATATGAGCCTACATACTTGGGACTTGGGACTTAGGAGTAACCTAAGTTCCAAATGAGGACTAGTAGTAGTTAACTGCACTCTAAGAGCACGACGACGACAACATATTTGGGTGTTTCTCTCTCCAGCGGCGGAATTAGAGCGATAACACGACTTCCTTCGCATCCCACCTCCGCCGTCTCTCACGACGACGGAATCCGCTTCCGGTTCTCTTCAAAGGTCTTCTCCTCCTCATGGGGAAGAGCGGTCGCCCTAAGAAAAAGCCTCCGGGATGGGTGTCTCCGTCGGCTCACTCAAAAATTCCGTCCTCTCCTTCGTCTTCTAATTCACCAGCTTCCGGGATGGATAGCCCAGTCTCTCCCTCGTCGGTAGCTCAGTCTCCTCCGGTCGACAGTGCCTTAACTGAAGCGCAGTCTTCAGTCTCAGCTGCTGTTGTTGAATCCGGTGTCTCCAAGGCAAAGCTTTCTTCAGCTCTGCTCTCACGGGATGCTCTTGCGAGTGCTGGTGTCACACCACTCCCTAAGCAGTCCGGTTCTCTCATGTCGGAAGAAATGCTTCCCCAAATTGATGCTTCCCTCAAGGTCTCTGCGAAAGTTGTGTCTACAACAGACCCAGAAGTTGTTGGATCTATGAAAAATAAATCAGCTTCTGCAAAAATTGTTTCTGCAATGGACCCAGTGGCTAGTAAAAACCTCTCGGATGCTGCGAAAGTTGATATTTCAACGGACCCAGGTAAGGAAGAGAGCAAATCTGTCTCCGATAATTGGCTTAAGCTTTTTAAAGGTCCCTCTAGAGCTCTCTCGAAGAAAGGTAAAGTCTTTTCTCTGCCATCCGGAGAATCGTGTGTTGAAATCCCCAATTCGGTAATTGCCAAGCATCAGAAGTCTTGGGATTCTTTCATCTTAGGACAATTCTATGCGGATCCTCCTTCTCAAGGAACAATCCACACGATTGTAAATGGTATTTGGAGTCGTCAGTTTAGAGATGTCTCTGTCTCAAAGGTGGAAGGGAATGCGTTCCTTTTCAGGAATATAAATGTCCAAACCAGAACTCGTTTTTTTAAGCAGAGGCTTTGGAATATTGAGGGCCAAACAATGTTCGTCGCTAAGTGGAAACCAGGAACGGTGCCTGTAAAGCCTAAACTTTCTTCTGCTCCGATCTGGTTAGAGCTTCGCGATGTTCCTCTTCAATTCTTTAATGATGATGGCCTTGAGTACATTGCTGGCCAAGTTGGTGATCCAAGGTTTCTGCATCCAGACACAATCAAAAGAACAAATCTTGAAGTTGCCAAAGTATTCACCATTATTGATCCAAGAAAGCCTCTCCCTGAGGTAGTAAATGTGAGGTTCCAATCTGGAGATATCAGGCGTGTCAGGATTTCCAGCCCGTGGATGCCTCCAATATGTTCTCTATGCAAAGAGGGTTGGCCATAGCGCGAAGCGCTGTACATCAGCCCCTATCTCCTGTTCAGGCTGTAATTCTTCTTCCCATTATGTGGATGCTTGCCTACGCGTGAGAAAAAAGAAGAAAAATCTTGCGTATAGGATAAAACCAGCGGTTGTTGATCCATCCCTTCTCTCAATTGTGCCGACTACATCAATTGTGCCGACTAGTTCAGAAAAAGTGTAAAGAGCTGCCTAGAGTGGAGAGCAAGGCTCCTGTTATATGTCGGTCATAATCCTAACGACTGCTGGTGGTGGTCAACTGGTCGGAATATGCGCTCGAATGCTTCTTCTAGGGTCTCGGCTGCTGATCCAGATTCTTCAGATGTGTACTCAAGTGAGTCTCTTTACAGTGATGATGAAGGAGAAGATTATGATAATTATGGGTTCACAGAATTGGTGTCGAAGAGGCATCGTAGAAGTGAGCGAGGCAATGGCCTCAAAATCCATTAATATCTATGTGTATAGATATCTTTTGTTGGAATGTCTGAGGCTTTAATAAGCTATCCCACCGTACCGGATTTAAGAAATGGCTTCGAAGAAATAAGCCAATTTTTGGTAGTCTAATAGAAACTCATGTGCAACAGCCCAAGAAGGATAAGTTTGTAAGTCAGCTTATGTCGGGTTGGTTTTGTGAAGATAACTATAGGTTTTCGGAGCTCGGGAAGATTTGGATCCTTTGGCACCCCACTGTTAATGTATCTATTATCTCCAAGTCTCTGCAAATGATTACATGTAAAGTTGAATTACCTAATACTACGCAACCGCTGGTGGTATCTTTTGTGTACGCGTCAAATGAAGATTCTGAAAGGTTGTTGTTATGGGAGGAGATAACTGAGTTATCTCAGAATATTGTTACTACTGGTAAGCCTTGGACGGTTCTGGGAGACTTCAATCAGATTCTCAACCCCTCTGAGCATTCCAAGTTGGATGGATTTAGTATTGATAGAGAAACTTCAGATTTCAGAAATTGTCTTTCTTCTGCATCTCTACCGGACGTCACTTTCAGAGGATGCTCTTATACTTGGTGGAACAAAAGGAAGGCTGATCCCATTACAAGAAAGCTTGATAGAGTACTGGTAAATGATGCTTGGTTAGGGGAGTTGCCGCTGTCTTTTGCTTATTTTGGGGAGCCAGACTTCTTTGACCATGCAAGTATCTCTATAAATTTTTCGGTTGCCTCCTCATCTCAAAAGAAGCCCTTCAAGCTGTTTCCTTTCCTCCTGCATAATCCTGATTTCTTAGCTTTGGTGTGTAGCAACTGGTTTACGTTCAACTTTGTTGGTTCTGATATGTTCAGAGTATCAAAGAAGTTGAGAGCTCTTAAGAAGCTTATTAGAGATTTCAGTAGGGATAACTACTCCGGCATTGAGAAGAGGGTTCAAGAAGCTCATGATAAGCTGATTGTGGCTCAAAGAAATATGCCTTCCAATCCTTCAACCTGTAATGCAAATCTTGAAGTTGAAGCTCAGGGACATTGGGAATTTTTACACAAAGCAGAGGAATTGTTCTTCAGGCAAAGATCAAATATTACTTGGCTGAGCGAGGGTGACAACAATTCAAGGTATTTCCATAGAATGGTGAACCAAAGAAAGTCTATTAATCACATCCACTTTCTGGAAAATGCTGTTGGGGATAGGATTGACTCTTCTCAGGGAATTCAAGATGTTTGTGTTTCGTATTTTACGGATCTGCTGGGTAGTGAAGTCTCTGCCCCTTTGTTTATTCAAGAGGATATCACCAACCTATTGGGGTTCAGTTGCTCGGCGGACCAACATCAGTCCCTTAAGGAGCCTTTCACCAGTGAGAAAATCAGGGATGCTTTTTGTTCCCTTCCAAAAAATAAATCTAGTGGCCCTGACGGCTACCCTGCTGAATTCTTTGTTGCCTGCTGGAGTATTGTTGGTGGAGAGGTTACAGCAGCTATCAAAGAATTCTTCTCTTCGGTAAAGCTTCTTAAGCAATGGAATGCCACTCCTTGGTATTGATTCCTAAGATCCAAAACGCTTTTAGGCCTTCGGAGTTTAGGCCTATCTCTTGCTTGAATACTATTTACAAGGTTATTTCAAAGCTTCTGGCCAACAGATTGAAGTGTCTGATTTCTGAAGTGATTTCTCCTTCGCAATCAGCTTTTATCCCAGGAAGGCTCCTTTCATAAAATGTCTTGCTAGCCACTGAGATAGTGATGGATATAATAGAAAAAACATTGACCCTAGAGGTATGCTCAAAGTGGATCTTCGCAAAGCTTTTGATTCCATTTGGTGGGATTTCATCATTTCAGCCCTCAAGGGAATCAATGTGCCAGAGCAGTTCTTA